TGGGTGGCTTAGTCGGTTAAGTGTCCGATGTTGGCTCAGGTCATGATCTCGTGATTCATGGATTTGAGCTCCGTGTTGGGCTCTGCACTGACAGCTCAGAGCCTGGAACCTGCTTCAGATTCTATGTCTGCCTCTCTCTCTGCCCCTCCCCTACCTGCACTCTCTCTCTCTCTCTCTCTCTCAAAAATAAACAAACATTGGGGCGCCTGGGTGGCGCAGTCGGTTAGGCGTCCGACTTCAGCCAGGTCACGATCTCGTGGTCCATGAGTTTGAGCCCCGCGTCAGGCTCCGGGCTGATGGCTCAGAGCCTGGAGCCTGTTTCCGATTCTGTGTCTCCCTCTCTCTCTGCCCCTCCCCCGTTCGTGCTCTGTCTCTCTCTGTCCCAAAAATAAATAAACGTTGAAAAAAATTAAAAAAAAAAATAAACAAACATTAAAAGAAAAAGAATAAACATGATTATCCCAAGGTTATGCATCTTATTCATCAATTTAGTAAAAAAGCATTGATACTATATTCCTTTGCTAAGGCTGCCATAGCAAAGTACCACAGGCCAGGTGATTTAAGTAACAGAAATTTATTTCCTCACAGTTCTACAGGTTAGAAGTCTGAGACAAGGTTAGTTTCTTGTAGAGGGCTGTGAGGGAGAATCTGTTCCATGCCTCTTCTCTACCTTCTGGTGATTCCCTGGCAGTCCTTAGTGACCTTGGATTTCAGAGGCCTCACCTTGATCTCTGTCTTCTTCTTCACATGGCAGACTCCATGGGAAGAGTTCTCATACTCTTACCATGTGATCCAGCAGTCAAGGTCTTTGGTATTTACCCAAAGGAATTGAAAATTTATATCCACACAAAAACCTGTGTACTAATGTTTGTAGTAACTTCATTCATAATCACCAAAACTTAAAGTAACTGAGACGTCCTTCAGTGGGTGAATGGATAAATAAACTGTGGCACATCCTAATAATGGGGTATTATTCAGTGCTAAAAAGAAACGAGCTATCAAGCCATGAAAACACATGGGGGGAACCTTAAATGCACATCACTAAGTGAAAGAAGCCAATCTGAAAGGGCTATAGACTATATGATCCCAACTATATAACATTTTGGAAAAGGCAAAACTATGGAAACAGTAAAAGACCATGGGTAGTTATAGGCTGCGAGGAGAGGTAAGTAGGCAGAGCACAGGGGATTTCAGGGCAATGGAAACACTGTATGGTACTATAGTGGTAGATAGGTGTCATTATACATTTATAAAAATCCAGAGAATATCCGACACCAAGTGTGAACTCTGATGTCAACTATGGACTTTGGGTGACAATCATGTTTCAGTGTAGGTTCATTGATTATAACACATGCATCACCCTAATGCAGGATGTTGATAGTGGGGAGAGCTGGGTGTGTGGAGCAAGGAGGACAGGGGCTAACTGGTGACTCTATACTTTCCACTCAGTTTTGCTGTGACCCTCAAACTGCTCTAAAAATCAAGTTTAGGTCTCTTGATCTCAGTTCAGGTTTTGATCACACAGTCATGAGTTCAAGCCCAGCATTGGGCTCTGCACTGGATGTGAAGCCTTCATAAAAATAATAAATTAATAAAAATAAAGTTTATTTATTAAAAAAAAACTATAATAAAATACAGAAAGTAGAAATACATAGAAATAATCCATATAGAAATTCAGTATAGGAAATGATCCATACCCTTTGGTTCCAGGAGACTGTAGAGTCCTTGAGAACAGAAATTATTCTTAGTTATTGATATATCCAATATCTGACATAGTGCTTAATAAATAGCAAACAGATGCTGGTTGGATGAACGAATGGATGGGTGGATGGTTGAATAAGAGATGTAGTACAGGAAACTTCTGGAAGAGGAAGAGTCCTTCTAACAATTATTTTGCCTTGGGAAGATTAACTCAGTGCAGACAGAGTAGTGACCTTGCCCCACACACGGTGTTTTTTTGGTTTGTTTTGTTTTTTATAATTTTTTTAACATTTATTTATTTTTGAGACAGAGAGAGAGCATGAACAGGGGAGGGTCAGAGAAAGAGGGAGACACAGAATCTGAAACAGGCTCCAGGCTCTGGGCTGTCAGCACAGAGCCCGATGCGGGGCTTGAACCCACAGACCGCAAGATCATGACCTGAGCCAAAGTCGGATGCTTAACTGACTGAGCCACCCAGGCACCCCCCCACACACACATAGTTTTGGGTTGCTGTCTGCATAGGCGATCAGCCTAGTGTACAAGCTCAGAAGCAGAGCGGGAATGTCCAGAGCAGCAGTGGAGTAGATTGGAGCCTGATGCATCAGAACAATGAAGGTCTGACTTTCCAGAAAACAAGCCAGAAACATGTTTCTCCTTGAAGATACTGCAAGAGCAGTAGCAGTCCAGCCTCCTCAGGTACAGACAAAGCAGGAAGTGGAGTAGATAGAGGAAATTGTGAATATTTTCCAATCTCTAGGGAGCACTTGGAGAGTATGCTTTTCCTGTAAGCCACTCTTCTTCCTCTGTGGGAAGGTATAGTGCATCCAGTGAGCTGGGAGGCAGGATTCAAATCTCAGTTCATTCAAAGTCCATGGAACATTGTTAGATTGTTTTACGCCTTGGTAGTTTTGTTGTTTTTTATTTGTTTTTGTTTTTTTATGCCTTGGTAGTTTTATATGTAAAATGAAAAAATGTTCTTTTGCTTATTATTATTGTCAAATAAAAATCGTTCTGGACTCCTTGGGGTGACAGCATCAGAGATGATTAGTCTTTGTGCCACGAATGACCCAAGTGCCTGGTCAAGGTCATACCCGTGCCCGAGGTCAGGCCCCTTTGAGCCCCATCAGTCTAGCTGCCAGACCCAGACTGAGCTAGGGCCCTGATTTGCTGTCTTCTGAGCCTCCAACTGTACTCCAAATGAATATTGTAATTACAGGATATCAAGGGGAGCCCCAGTCTAGAAAGATTACACAGTTCTTTTCATAAACAGTTGAATTAAGAATTAAATGTGGATTGATTCAGCATGTGATTCTCTGTAATGAATCTCTAAATGCTGTTAAAAATCCAGCTTGGGAACTTACACAACTGGACTTTCTAGTCTGTAACTGACACACAAAGTTTTGAAGGAACACAGTTTTCAACAGTCTATTTCAAGGCATATTCCTGGTGTCATTTATCCATAACGTCTACAGTTTCCTCAAGAAAAATACAGCAGGATGTCAGATGCTGTATTTATTTCCCCGCCTGCCATTAAAGCCCACACTGGTTGCCTCTTTACAAGTTATGCATGTTACAAATGGAAATTCCTTACCAGGAGAGTATTCTTAGAAAAGTGATTCACATCCAGCCTATCAGCACATTTATTGTTCTACTTCCAAAATATACCCCAGTGCATTGACTTCTTTCGGTCTCCACCATTTACTATTCTAGTCCAAGCCATCATCATCTCTCACTAGACTACTGCGATAGCCTCCTGACAATTCCACTTTTCTGTCTGCTCCCAATCCATTCATTTCCACATAGTAGGCGGATTCATCAGTTTAAAATATCACAGCTCCCTGCTTTGAAATCTCTAGTGGCTTTACATAGCGATTCAAATGAAGTCCAAACTCTACAGTGAGCCCAGAGGGCCTGGCTCATGCTCACCTCTCTGGCTCCTATCACATCATCCCTCACTGTCCTCCAGCCCCACTCTTCCTTCTTTCCTCACGCAAAGCCTTGCCCTTGCTGTCCCCTCTGCCTAGAATGTTCTGATTCCAGTTCTTCACCTAGGTGGTTCCCTTGTCACCAAGGCCTCAGCTTCTCAGAGGGCAGCTCTCCCTAACCTCCCCAACTCAAAAGGCCCTCCCTGCCCTTTTCAGTCACTCTCCATTGCTCCTCTATGTGTTTTTCTCTTCACAGCCCGTTTTGTTACTGAAAATGTCATGTTTGTCTATTTGTTTCTTAATGCCTGCCCTCTCACTGCCTAAACACCCCAAGGGAACAAAGATCTTAGTTTTGCCTCTTCTGAATCCCCTGTGACAAGAGCAGTGCCTGGCATAAGATATATATTTATTGGATAAGTGAATACCTAGATATATACAGATATATCTATATATTCATTCAGCAAATGTATTTGTTTAAATGTTTATGTATTCATATGTTATATATGAATGAAAAAATGTCCTTGAAGATTTTTTTCACATCCAGTTTTTATCATGACTTAGAATGTTGGAGTGGATGGAATAATCAATTCTATTAAGTGTAGGAGCTGGATTAAAATAAAGCAACAACGTAAGAAAACAATAAAGATTTTGTCTGTTTCCTATACCTTACTGCACCTTGAACATAGTTGGAATGACACCAAGAATTACCATAGACTCCTTGATAAAATGCCTTCTATGCCTCCAAGAAGAGGTGTGGTGTGTGTGTGTGTGTGTGTGTGTGTGTGTGTGTGTGTGTGTGTATGTGTGTATTTCTGAATATATTTTTATGTACCTTATTTAGGGTTTTACTACTATAAATTGTAAGCTGTAGTCCAGAGTTCTCATGCCTATACTTAAACGATACATATCCTTTGATTTTGATGCTGGGATCTTTGGGTCTTTCTTCCTTAGCTCCCTTTATTAAGCTCACTTTTAAGATGGCCTCAAGGAAAATGAACATCTGGAAATGACCACATTAAATCCCAAAGTTAAGTATCACATAGACCAATTTTTCTGTGGCCCAAGGAATTAGATATTTTTACCTCCTCTGAGGGGAGCTCCTCATTTATTTTTTTTCTTCATACTGGCATTCATAAATTTTTTTTTTATCACTCGCCGGGTAACAGGTACCATGCTCACCTCTCATATTAAAATAACAAATGAGACTGAGCCTACTTGGATCTTGGCCTACTTGGGTCTCAGAATGACATCATTGTCTATGGGATGACCTTATGCTGGAGCCTTAGAATTCTTAGGCTGTCTGTCTCCAGCCATAGTCACTGCCTTGCTATATGCCAGGGAAGGTGATGTTAACATTTTCATGGTATGTTTCAGCAACTTGGAAGTATATACAGTATACTGGCTGCAATCATGAATGTTGGAAACATTGAATTTTCTTCTGTGGCAACTGAACACCAGCTTGACAAGAGCCACATTTCCAATCATGCAGCTCTGGAAAACTGTGAGTTTTATTATCTTCTGTTCAACACTGAACTCTTTTTTTTTTAAATGTTTATTTATTTTTGCGACAGAGAGAGACAGAGCATGAGCAGGGAAGGGGCAGAGAGAGGGGGAGACACAGAATGTGAAGCAGGCTCCAGGCTGTGAGCTGTCAGCACAGAGCCCGACGCGGGGCTCGAACTCACGAACTGTGAGATCATGACCTGAACCGAAGTCAGACGCCCAACCAACTGAGCCACCCAGGCGCCCCAACACTGAACTCTTGAAAAATGTCTAATGACATACTTGTAAGTGTCACATAAAGACAATTTCAAAAAAAAAACTTCAAAAAAAAAGATAATTTCAAGTGATCGTACTGATAGAGAATCCTGAAAAAGAATATTCAGATTCAATTTGCATAACATGAAGCTTTTAAAGTCCAATATTTAAAACACATATTCATGCCTGCAAAATAACTGATTACTGAAGAAAACCTTCCTAAGTCTAGGCTTTAGACTGTTTTAGGAGCTATTTACATTTCAATGTAAAAACACAGAAAATATAATTAAAATTTAGTAAACTGATCTGAAAGGAGTTAAAATTGTTTGATAGATTTAGTGTATATATTATTTTATTTTATTTTTTAAATATAATTTGTTGTCAAATTGTCTTCCATAAAACACCCAGTGCTCATCCCAACAAGTGCCCTCCTCAATGCCCATCGCCCAGTTTTCCCTCTCCGCTCCCCATCAACCCTCAGTTTGTTTGTTCTCTGTATTTAAGAGTTTCTTATGGTTTGCATCCCTCCCTCTGTGTTTGTAACTTTTTTTTTCTCTTTCCCCTCCCCCATGGTCTTCTGTTAAGTTTCTCAAGATCAACATATGAGTGAAAACATATGGTATCTGTCTTTCTCTGACTGACTTATTTCACTTATAAGCAATAAAGACTTGTATATTTATTTTCATACCGGATGAATTTTTATACTCATTCATCCTGGGTTAACTGATTTTGCAATAATTTTGTATACAAGAAAAGTGCAATATTGTATTTGCTTTAAATCAACTTTTTTCTCTATCTAGCAGAGTTTAATGAATTATTCCAATAACTTAAGGTTTCCCACTGATTTTCTGGTGGCACAGCTTTTTTATTTAGAATATATGCTATTTTTTTTTAATTTTTAATGTGGGCATATGCCTCTATAATTCCAGATTTGTTATGTTTCATATATAATGTAGAGAATCATGATATAAATTTTTATTTATATATTTTTTCTGATTTATACTTAATCAGAAACAGAATGAGCTGTTTTAGGGTAAATTTCAGAGGACCAGATACGAACCATTCTAGTCTGGACCTGTCCTTAGATCCCTATCATCTCCATGCCACCACTTTGTCTCTGGGACCAGCTTAGTAATACAGAAGAACTGAGACTGGCATGTAATGATTGCCGTGGACCTGAGAACCTGTTCTGATTTTTCATATATAAATAAAGTTAAATGACCAGAAGATATTAGACTAATAGTTGTTTTTTGTTTTGTTTTGTTTTTTTTCTGGGCCATGGATCTCCCTCTGGCCCATGATGAGCCGGGCCTTCTTCTGGCCAATGTGCTGCAGGCTATGTAGATCCTGGGCTGAACCTTCATTCAGCAGACCTAATATTTTTTGGCACCCATGGGCCAGTAGTTCCAGGTTGATCTGTAGCTCCCAGCAGTCCCCAGTTATCAGATGTGGAAGGAAAAAACAGAAAACTCCAGTGATATATTCAGATCTCACCATTGATCATAATTAGAAGAGTTATCAACAATGAAGAGAATGATTGACCACAGAGATATTTGTAGATTATGAATATATACTCAGAAACTAACAAACTAAGAACTGACTTTGATAATTGAGAACCTATTTCTATATAGGAAACAGTCATATGGGTCACAAAAGATTAATATTTATATGAATGTAGTTAAAATTAAAGCACTTTGTGGAATAGCCTTTTATGGCAAATAAAAATTTTGCTAACTTATAATGATTTATAATTAAAGTTGCAAGGAATTATCTCCAAACCAAGGCCATGTTTCCTGATGGTTTTACAGGTACATTGTTTCAATCAGGGTCCAGTTCTGGCTGTTCTGTCTCATAAATATCTCTCAAATCTGACCACTTCTGTTTATCTCCATCATCTTCATTCTCACTGAAGACAACATCACCTCTCACCTCAGCTAAGTAACCTCCCAATTGTTCATTCTACATCAGTTCTTGAACTTTTCCAGGCCATTCTCCACAATTCATTCAGAAACCACTTAATGCATGTATCTAGAAGGTTCTCTCAATCTTTCTCTCCCTCTCTCCCTCCCTGTCCCTCTCCTCCTCCCTCTATCTTCCTACTTAAGTTTCTTGATTAGCTTCCATTCCTTCTAGATAAAGATGATCAAGACTAGAAGTTTGCCTTATGAGGTATTATACTTAGCAATATATCCCCAGGTAAAATGAACAATGCAGGAATAGAAGTAGACTATTAATCAATGGGAAACACTATTCAGAAACAGAAACAGATCCAAGCAGAATTGCCAGAAATGGCATTACAAATCACTAGGGAATCAGTGTTGTAGGGACAGCAAACTGGCTAGCCACTTAGGGGAGTGGGGGTGGGGGGGGATTTGAATTCTTGTCATACACCATATACCAAAATAAATTACAAATCTATACCATTTAAATGCAAAAAATCATAAAAGTTCAGGACAAGAGTGCGTTCAGGACAAGACTTGAAGGATTTTATGTGCAGAAAACCAAAAGCAGAAAGGATTTTTAATGGATATTTGACTACATAAATATTAAAACTCTTTCATACTAACAAAAGAAAAATAAACGAAATTGCAATACAGGTAAAAAATAAAAGAAAATATTTGTACTATACATATAAGAAATATGTGTAAGCTATGAAGAGCTCTTCTAAGCTTATTAGGAAAAGACAAATATATCAATGAAAAAAGGGAGTTTATAAAATAAAACCACAAATTACTAATAAAAATATGAAAAAAAGAAAGTATTTAGCTTCACTAGGAGTCAGTTAAAAACAAATTGAAAAATGAAGGCATTTTTTCCTATCAAATAGGCCATTCCCAAAAACAATATGTGGTACCCATGAAATTGCATTAAAATTTTTTTTTTTGGCTGATAAGAATGTAATTGGTTCAGGGTTTTTGAAGAATAGCTAAATAGTATACATAAGAAGGCTTAAATATGTTTATATACACGGAACCAATTACTGATTCTAAGCAATTTATGCTAAGAAAATCATACGAAACAGGAACACAGATTCATACACAAAATATTTATCCCAGCATTATTTACAATTATGAACATATGGAAACAACCTAAATATCCAACAATTTAAAATTATTGATATATTATGATATATAGCAGACTATTATGCAGCAAATTAAAATTTACAAGCGATATTTAATAAAGTGAGAAATGCTTAAGATATTAAGATGAAATATATGTGCAGAATAGTGACAGTAAACATGCTTAAAAGGAAAGAATGCAGAATGTTAACTTGAAAAGCAAGATATCTACAGTGGACTTGTATTACCTCTACAATGTGAAAACAATATTTAAGCAAGGTCCAGTGATCTTAGCCACATAGCTGAGAACTATCTTGTCCCAATGCAAAGTAAAATTCAAAATGTTGAAAATAATTTAAAAGGAGAACTGATTTAAAATAAATAGTCTGTCATGTGATAGTTTGGGTTAAAGATGTTTTATATTAAAAAATGAGTTTTATTCCCTGAATTTAGGTATTTTTCATTTAAAATTCCCTGTGATATGTAATTACCATTAAATATGCATGTTCCAGGCATCACACTTTAACAGAATTTAATTATTGAAATATATAACTGAGAAGTAGTAGGATACAAAAATACATTAATGTTGAGATAAGGTTTATGCTGTTTTGGTTAAATATTGCAAAAGTTAGGTAAAATACATTGGTTTGGGCATATCTCTCAAGTCTAAGTAACTTCCAGTTAATTTCTACATTTTGAAAATGTGTATATGATAATGGCGTCCAGATTATACCAAATTTATTCATTATGCTTATAAATTATTTCACATAATTCAGTGAAATTATGTTTGGCATCATGTAAACAACCACTGGCTTGTGCCAATGTTCCCTCCTGTCAGCCAGTTCGGTTTGGGTTGTGCTGTATTTATTATATGGCAGCCTGCATGTGACCAGTCAGGGAGAGAAAAATGATCAAGAAGAGACACAGGACTCCTACTCAACAGCAACTTATTTTTACATTAGAAAGTCTTCACATATTTCTTTTATGTCGTTTGAAGAAGGTAAATTAAGACGTTTTCATTCTATAGGAAGTGACTTCATTGCCATAACTTTTTCTAACAACACATCTGTTTGTTTTTTTTTAGCTGCTTCTTTGCTTTGCATTCAGGCAGATGAACTCAAAGAAGCTCTTACCTCCCACTGTGTGGTCACTAGAGGAGAAACCATTATTCGACCCAATACGGTCGAAAAAGCTACTGATGTCAGAGATGCTATGGCCAAAACTTTATACGGGCGTCTCTTTAGTTGGATAGTCAATCGCATTAACAGTTTATTGAAGCACAGCACATCGCCAAGGTAAAAATTCTCATGGAAACATTTTTTTCCCCAAATGTCAGGTGATGTAAATCTGTTTTCTAATTTATTGATTTGTATATGAGTCCCTTTGAAGACGTTTCTAATTGCTATCGCTGAATTATTACAGTTCTATCTCAGTAGATCTGCTTTATTTCCTAGTAGCCCTTTATTAGGCCAGATAGCTATAAAAATGCAAATGTCCTGGAACACAAAAACTGTAGCAACATGAATAAACATGAAAAGTGAATTTTTAAAGTGACATCAATTTATATGTTCTTTTAATAGGAAGGTGTACTGCAAAGTGTATATACCATTTTATACTTTCATAAAATGTCATTCCAGCAGGTTTTTTGTTTGTTTGCTTTGTTTTGAGGGATTGAATTAAATCTTGAAGGCAAAGGAAAGCTTTCTTTTTATATTTTAACTCTCACTATAATCCTGTAAGGATAGGAATTATGACCTCCAATGAACTTTGGTTCCAAAATGTCCTAAGTAAATAGTAAATGATAGAGTGAATATATGAACGATAATGTCATCGTTTATGCCCTGCCTAGTACCCCATCTTAGAAATAAAGAATCACAGCCACCACTGACTGAGTACTCTCTATGTACCAGGGATTGCGCACAGGTATAAACCCTTCCATTTACACCTAAAGCTTTGTTCTGCCACAAATTACACAATCTGTAGAAATTGTATACAAAAAGCAGGATAAATGCCTACCTTTTTTTTTTTTTTTAATTTTTTTTTTTCAACGTTTATTTGTTTTTGGGACAGCGAGAGACAGAGCATGAATGGGGAGGGGCAGAGAGAGAGGGAGACACAGAATCAGAAACAGGCTCCAGGCTCTGAGCCATCAGCCCAGAGCCTGACGCGGGGCTCGAACTCACGGACCGCGAGATCGTGACCTGGCTGAAGTCGGACGCTTAACCGACTGCGCCACCCAGGCGCCCCGATAAATGCCTACCTTAAGTCACCTTGTTCACATTTGCTTACTAAGCATAAAAGACTATTCTATACACATTTCAGGCATGTAATTCAGTCATTTTTCCACGAAGGGCCACACCACATCATAATATTATCCAGAATGTCTAAGAGATTATCCATTATTCCTCCATGTTCTTAATTCTCTATCCCCCAGAATTGCTTCTTTCCCTTTCTGCTAAACTGTAACCTATCCGATTGGGTCTGCAAATCAAATTCCAGTTTGGCCATTCTGATTTAATGATCAAAACACTTTGTATGTTCATGTGTGGCCATCTGTATGATGCCAAGCTTTCAGGTGAAAATGGAAAAATTCCAGAATGTTCACTATCTATGTATTCCACAGACGACTACATTTTGCTACTTATCATCTGCACGTTTGGCACTAAGGCGATCTGCTGAAAATTCCACTACAGCCTCTTTACTATTTGGTAACTTTCCTTTCCATACACTAAAGAAAGCCAGCCAAATGTTAGATTTTCAAAATTTTCAAAATAGAAAGTTTAACAAACAGGGGCACCTGGGTGGCTCAGTTGGTTAAGAATCCGACTTCAGCTCAGGTCATGATCTCAAGGTCAGGGAGTTCGAGCCCCGCGTTGGACTCTGTGCTGACAACTCAGAGCTCAGAGTCTGGTTTGGATTCTGTCTTGCTCTCTCTCTGCCCCTCCCCAGCTTACACTCTGTTCTCTCTGTCTCTCAAAAATGAATAAATGTTAAAAAAATGTTTTTTAAATAAAGTTTAACAAATTAAAATAAGACCATTCATATAGTTCAGCAAAAATCTGTCAAGATTTATGTTAAGATTTTGAAGAGCCTGTATACTGTGCCAGTCTTTTCCACTAACTTGTTGTGCAACCCTTGACAAATTACTGCATTTCTCTGCATCTTGTCTTCTTCAACTATTAAATAAAGGCATGTAATGACAAATCAGTGGTCTTAGTTATTGATGGACATCTTGGAGCCTTTTAAGGATCTCTTGAGGGATGCCTGGGTGGCTTAGTCAGTTCAGTGTCCAACTTTTTATTTTGGCTCAGGTCATAATGTCATGGTTCATGGGATCGAGCCCTGCATCATTCTCTCTCCTTCTCCCTTTGCACCTCTCCCACTCCCTCTCTTTCTCTCTCTCTCTATCTAAAAAAAAAGAAAAGAATAAAAGAAAGAATAAAAGGATCTATTGAAAGTATGTTCTTCACTCCAAAATTTTAAAAATGGATATATTTCTACATACCCACCAAAATATTGTGCATGGTTGATTCCAGCCCCCTTGAAGACCATTAACAGACCCCAGGTTAAGAATCCCTGAATGAGGTCATCTCTAAGGTCCTCCTGGCTGTAACACACTATTAGATGAGTTAAATATCTCAGCAGGATCCTGTGGGATAATTTTTTTAAAAGAATAATAATGTTGACTAAACCAGCATACATTTTCACTTTCTATTCAAAATAGGAATTTTCAGAAGTATTTGTATAGCTTTCCTTTTGTCAATCCCATCACACAAAGGGTCCTATAACTTTGTGTTCTGAGTTCAGTCAGTTCTTCCGAATACAGAGAGCATCCTTCACTTCCCAGCATGAGGTGGACAGCTGTCATTTCTAAATCACTTCCTCACACAACACTAAGCGTTAACCTAGGTTACATAAATAGTGAGCACAGAGAAATGTTTGTACTCTCCTTTTTAAAATCACATGAAAATAACTGTAATGCATATATTTCTCAGAAGAGGCAAACTTTTGACCAACTATCTAGCCTTTAATGAACAGAGAGGTAACCATTATGGGGGAGCAGGAAAAAAAAGTACATTTGGAATATTTAATTATAAAATAATATTTAAGATAGACTCCACCAAAGTCTGCTAGAACTGATACATGAATTCAG